GTAATTGATTTAAAATTTTGTGATTGGCTAGTAATTAGGATAGAATCTCCTAATTTTCTTAGGATAATATTTGAGGATAAATATGATTTATCTTTTAAGATTAAAAAATGATTTGATTCTATCTCATGCCTAATTTAAAATATATGATATTTTATTGATGGTCATGAATAATATATGATATTATCTAATTGGAGTAATTACAATATGAAATATTTAGGTGCCATGTTTCCTTAATTATGAACATTCGATGTTATAGTTTAGGAAAGCATGATGAGTGATTTATTAGGTGGCAATTTTATAATATATGATATTATGTTTCTATATAATGACTAGTATGGCCCATTAGATTACTAAATACGATCTGCGCATCGTGATGTATTTTTGTAATCTAAGTACGGTCTACGTACCAATAAAGTATTGTTGTAATTTTATTTTATTTTATTTAAGTAGTAAATAGAATAGAGTAGAATTACAGGTTGCAGTTAATCCAAGAAGCCATGAAGTGAAGACCCAAAGGAGCGAGGTGGATGAGATCCATGAAGGTTCAAGTGGGAACATTTACTTTATTAGTTGTCTTATGATTAAGGGCCATGCTATGTCTTGTTTATGTATTCAGTATATTATGCGTGTTATATTTTATTGATGCTTGTGATGATGCGCTAGAGTTCACTAAATAATCACAACATAATAAATCTAGGTCCCGGTAATATTGATATTGCTTTCCCAATTAGATACCCAACAACCCTTCAATCGTGAGTGATGGGTCTGCCTCTGCAGGGTATCACTTGTTATCTTAGTTAATTTGGGGTAGATCACGTTCTACACATGTAGTTGGTTACGCTCAACAAGGTTACCTAAAGCGTTTAGAATTTTGAAGCAAAGGGTAATAATTAAACATGTGATGGTTAATTATTCAACCAAGAGTTGCAGGAGTCGCAATCAGTAAAGAGTTTACTCACCTTGAAAATGTAATGCTTGATGGTAGGGCCTCAGTCTGGTCAACTATTACACGAATAAAGGATCTTGGAATCGCTTAATTCAATTGGGACAAATAAATATTGAATAAAGTGTTTTAAAGTAACCTATTTAATTCGCTTATGATACTTTAAATTTTATTAAACATAGTTGAACTTTCCATTTATAAAATAAGTAATATTTCGTTCTAACTTTATTATTATATATATAATCTCCTCAATTGAAAATAAAGTTGAGAAACGTTCTCAAAAGTGTAAAAGATAATCCATAAACCTATATTCTAATTTTGCTAAGGTGGTTCTAAAAGACAAGTTTTAGAAACTCATGTCACATGTATAAGGTTAGTTTTCTTTAACTCAAAATGTTTGAGGAAAAGGCCAACACCATCTTCATTTTGAAAAGTGTTTCAAAGGATATAATGAGATGGGAGGTATGAGCCTCTAAAAGACTAGTATGGAAGTTAAATAAAATCTCTTATCTCCAATGTGATTGAATGTAAGAAAGTGATTGGAAGTCTCCATGATCAAAAGTTGGCCAAATGACATGCATTATTCTTCATTCATTTAATCTGGAATTAAATAGCTGGTTAAACTCTAATATGACTAACGATTGAATAAACTTAGTAAAATCATGAAAAGGCTTAAAGAAGTTAAGCAAAGTATCGTTTTGAACCTAAGAGAAATGTTCTAATTGGCTCAAGGGGAAAGGTTTAAGAATACATGAGGATTACATTAAGAAGTTATAGGCCAAGAAATGCAAGCAAGTTGCTACTTCTCAAACCTAGAACTACTTATATGCTAAGAGTTGTTATGGACAACAAATGTTTCCAATTAAATGTACTAATTCCAATTGATTAGAAACTACCTCATACAGTTGGAAGGTAAAAGAATGGAAATGTTCCAATTTAAAAAGTATATTATAGAAATTGATTTAGCATATTACTACTTCTTGGACATGCAATGTCACATTTAGTTCACTCTCATTGAGAATGTGGTTGAACTAAATGAAGAAGTTTGGCTAAGGGAGAAATAAATCTACAAGTTTAGAAGCAAATGTTGCTAGTTCACAAGCAAATTCTACAAGTTTAGAAGCAAAAGTTGCAACTTTACAAGTAGAAGCTTGCATTTTCACCTACCTAGTAATTGGCTAGAATTTAATAAATGTTATTTATTCTTGCTAATTTCAAAACACCAATCAATGTTAGTAATGACTAAGCATTGAAGATTCAAAAAACATGGAGTAAATGTTAATCTACGCTTATTTGAACAAAAGTGTGTCTTGAATAGCTAAATAGGTTAAAAATTATACATGTTAGATATATATATATATATATATATATATATATATATATATATATATATATATATTTATATATATATATACATATATATATATATATATATATAAATTGTCTCTAATATGTCAAATGATTCAAATAAAAACTGAACATATCCAAAGGGATGGACTTTCAATATCATTAGATTATGAATCTATTGATATATGTAAATATCATTCTAAATTGACAATTGACAAAGTCATCCTTTAGAGAAACGATGACATGAATTCGAGGACAAATACATATTGACGTAAGAAAACCTAAGGTTCAAAGGCTAGAGACGGACATTGAAACTTCATTTGGATATGAACACTTGTGCATAATTGAAGCAATCAGAGTGAGAGTTTTGAAAAGTTCAAAAGTCCAGTATGAGGTTCAGAATCAACTTGAAAAAATAATAAATACATTACAATATGATTATAGTGGTGAAATTTGAGTCAAGACATTTACTTGGCTATATATTCAAAGTATTGCGATATGATTGTAATAATGAGAATTTAAGCCAAGACCTTGATAAACATCCAAGAGTTGTGAAATCGTTTTACAACAAACTCCGAAAGAAAACCTTGTGAAGTGTTTATAAAAGGAGCTATCAATCTATATGAGATATATTTTGAAAATGGATGAAAATACCCTATCTTCCAACCATTATTCAAGGGATATATTTTTAAGATAAGCTACAAAACTAAACAAAACTACATACGTCAAATCAAAATGTAACAAAGGCTTCATATGTGATATTGATAAGAAATGTTCTTATAAAGTCTTTCACAAACAAGGAATGAAAGATGTATTAAATCATTTAATGCACGTTCAATTCCTATACAGAGCACGAAAACTACTACACAAGTCACACTTAGCACAAAATGTTTGTTGCTTAAGAAGGTGCCCTTATGGAAAATATGTCATTTCCAAAAGATCAAGTGGGAGTAGTATAAATCTCGAAAGAGTTCGAGAAAAGCAACAAACAAACATGGTTCAAACTATGGTTGGTTCACCTCATGCTAATGTGCCTCATTAAAAGGCTAGTGGGAGTATAAGAATCACGAAAGAGTTCGAGAAAAGTGAATTCGGAAATCTTGAAGAAATTCGAGAAATAATCGAATAAAGGCAACAATATGAGCATGATTAACCTCATGGTACAAATGACAACGCGTGATCTCATTAAGTGTAATGGGAATAATAACCATGTGTCGAAGGTAGTACATTCCAAGTACACATCCTCTATTGTCGTTTCTCATTGAAAACAAAACAAAGTTGTTGTATAAGTTTCAACTGTTGCATAAAGACCCACAATGATGACTAGCATATCTAAAACTTAGCCAAAGAAATATGATTTCATATTGACTAAGAGTTCAAAAATATTGATTTTAGAGCAATATGATTATGCAAGTAATAAAGATGATTTGACAAGTTATAACTCCAAATGGTTAAAAAACTATGAAAATTTGAAATAGATTCTAAGTCTGTAAGCAAGTGTATGACATTTGATTAATTTGCCTAATTGGGTTAGACCCATTGTAAGAAAAACAGACAAGAAAGAAAAATGTTTTCTAAACAAATCAAAGACTTGTTAAAGGATTCAACAAATTCATAGTATGACTATGATTGCGATGAAACTTTACATTAGTTATGTTGCAAAGATCTATTAAAGATATTTTAGTGATTTCTACCTTATAAGATTTGGAGATGGATTTCAAAACACTTTCTTGAAATTGTTAGTGAATGAAGATTTGTATATGATACAATTATAATAGTTTTGAAAATCCAATAATCCTAGGGATGCATAAAATATCCATTAATGGATTGAAGTTAGCATCATGGAGTTAATATCCTTATTTTGTGAGTTAATCAAATCATTTGATGTTCTCATAAAATGAAGAAAAGTTCTCGTGTATACAAGATGTTTAGTGGGAGCTATACAATTTTCTTGGTCTACTACAAAGAACGATTATTCATTGCTTCAAGGGTCAAGTAATGGCTAATGCGTTTTGTATGAAAAACCTTGAAGAGGAAGATGAGTACAGTTGGGATTCAAGATCAATAGAGATAGGTTTCGAAGGATGTTTGAGCTTAGTTAAGAAACTTATATTGATAAGATTCTTATGAGGTTCAAAATTATATTAAAAAGAGTTTCAATCCCATATAACATGCAGTACATAACTAACCTTAAGTAACACCCAAAAAGTGTTACATAAAATGATAAAAGTGTTATTATATACAATAGGTAACACTTTAGTGAGTGATACATCCGCCCATGTTACCTAAGATCTTATGTAACACTTTGGGTAATATATGGTAACACTTTTAAAAGTGTTACTATAAACCTTCCTATGTAACACTTTTTATATTATTAGTATCATTTTTAAAGTGTTACTTATTATTTCTTATGTAACACTTACTTACCTTTAGTATCATGTTTTAATCATATAGTAACACTTTATCTGACATTGTGTATCACTTTTCCAAACTAATGTATCACCTTATTGATTATTAGGTAACATTTTTCAATCATCTTTTGACATATAATAACACTTTGTTTGACATTATGTATCACTTTTTATAAACTAATGTAACACATTATTAATTAATAAGTAACATATTATTATTACAACTACAAGTATTTAAAATATGCAATATTTTTTATTTTTTAAAATATAAAAATAATATTAACCTGTACAAGAACCAAGAATATGAAACTAAAATATACGATAGAGTGATAGACCATAATTTGAATTGATACAATTTCATAATTTCATAAAATAATCCATAAACACCAATTTGTTTGTTTGGCTAAACAATCTAATAATCAAAACAAAAAGAAAATCAACTTCGGTCTCTAAAGGCAACATAAGTCAGCACAGTAGCAAAGAGACAGCAGCAATAACAGTAGCTAGTAGTAACAGCACGCAAATAGCAGCAGCTACAGGCCAGCAGACAGCAGTAGGCATTAGTAAACGTAGTAACAGCAGATAGCAGCAGGTAGCAATAACAGCATACAGTAGTACCAGGCTAGCAGACAACAGTGCTAGCAGTAGGCATTAGTAAGAGCAACGACAGCAGCAAACAGTAGTAACAAGACTGTAAAAATAGAAAATAACAATTGTTAATATTCTCGCTTTATTAAAATAAAAGGAAGACATTGAAGTTAATCTATCACATGAAATAAAGGTGGTTTATAGCATGTTGTATCTCATCTAAAACAATCCAAGTCCACTCCTCCCACATTATTGAAAGACAGTAAAAGAAAACAAACATAAGAGTATTGATCCATGATTGGCAGATTATCAATTCTCTCTTGCCTTTTATTATTTCAATTTCTTGAAGGAACGGCCAGGTCTTGAAGAACTTTATATTGATGTGGACAGAATTAGCAATTCTTGATATTAGATATACTCCTTTAGAAAACCAATCACGCAGCCTGAGTTACTAGGTTAATGAGGAGTGACTGGGTCAATCAACAGTAAATTCAAGTAAAAAACGAGAGAAAAATGGCAGTAGCAACATCTACCATAGCAGAATTAAATGGGCTTACCTCACCATTCCTACCAGGTAAGAAGAGTTGCGGTTGTTAACAGCAAAGTCATCACTACAACTAGCAGGAAGTTGTGGTTGTTGTAGCTGCTCCTAAGAAGTCTTAAACTGCAATAAAATTGACATCTGAAAAATAAAGAGCATTGAAATCATCACCAACTGATGATAGAAACTTGTTTTAACATTCCACAGTAGCATAAGTGTTCAAATTTTTAATAAAGATAAAAAGCTTCCCCTTCAACAACATTGGCTATTTAGAAAAGCGTACATCAATTTGTATGATGTATAATTAAGAAAGAGGGTGGGGTGATTCCCACAGATATCTAGTAATCTTATAAATAATTTCAGAAGACTAGTTCCAATTTCTTGTGAGAAGGATCATCTCAAGTATTACTGCATAGAGGAGCACATAAGCCAATCATCTCATTTTCTATGTTAGAGCCTAAAAACATGAAATATCTATCAAGAGAACTTGGAAACATATGCAATCACTTCTGATCTGAGGGGCTATAACAAGATAATGATTTGGCATCAAATGCCACTTTCTTTGCAAAGAAAAATACTTTCCTAATAAACTAGATGATTTTAACGATAAATCCACCTTCAATTGACATTATTAGGGAATTGTGGAGGATCAGAGCTTAAAACTTTAGGAATGAATCATATATATAGAATAATGTAGAAATTATTCATGAAGCTTAAGAGTTAGTGAGCCTACCAGTGGGACTAATCCTAAAGTTTCATGTAAAAATGTGAAGCAAATCAAGCTTGCAATTATTGTTTTACATAGCTTACATCCACTAATGTAATTGCCATGAGTGTAGTGGCAATTTTCCAACCATCAGCACCATGAATTTCAACGCTTCTAACATTCTAGTTCTAGTCCATTACAGTAGAAAATTGAAAAAATAAATGGGTTCTGATCTCCAAAATGATTAGCTCTAAAAACGATCTGCATTTCTATCACAGAATTATAAAATTAATCAAACAGAACCCATGAAAATCAAGAAAAATTAAAAACCGCATTAAAATTAAAAGTCTATAATTAGCAAAAAGAAAAGAAAAGCTTAATGTCAGATTGTGAGAAAACAGCAAGACGAAGAACCCAAATATCAAAGAAGTCGAACCAAACAGAAGTTAAACGCAATGAACCCACCAACATCAACCACTAACCTAATGGCTTCATCACTCTCTAATCTCCTACCTAAGCTTTGAGGAAACAGTGTCCATACAATTACTTCTCATTCTAGAAAATAATGGACAGACTATAAGTCCAATCCTTCATGTCATCGGCTTCAATATCTATATGACACACAAGTAATTCAATTTAATATTATGCCAATCTAAGTTGGTTATCAAGAAAACACATACAATTTTATTGTAGTGCCCAATCTAGTTCGATTCGAGAAATATAATACAAGTACCTCTCAATCTAAATACTACAGCTTGAGCAATTTCTAATCATTCTAATTAGGTGACAGAATTGCATTTCTAATCAAACCCAGTAACAAAATTAAAATGGAAGCTAAAAGTTAATAAATCAAACTAGTAAGACTTTTCAGCTCTTTAATTGGCTTATTAAATCTAATTATCTTGGAATGCAAATCAAACTGAATTTAGCACAAAGTATAACTTTTACTTTGAATTTTTAGTTACTCCAACGTACAACTACAACTCCAAATAGTAATCATAAATTCACCATCAAACAATAAAATTCGTCAAAATCTATCAACAATTAAAAATCCAAGTAAAAATTACAAATATCCCAAAAAGAATAGAAGAAAGAAAACGAACCTCTATGAGCACCACCATTACCGTATCCACGTTGCCGCCGCCACCATGGATAATCAGTAACTTCTTCACTACAGTTTAAATGAAATCCGAAGAGATGAAACACTGTCAAAGATTAAAACCGTGTTACTGTCATTAATATAATATTCAGCCACAAGTTTTGCTATCAGTAGTTCCATACTCTCAGAAATCGATGCGACCTCTACAGACAGGTCAAGTATTGGTTTTGAACCCTCCATGACTCGCTAAACTGCATCATGATTGACTGTAAACACAAATGTACATAATTAGTGGGAAGAAAATTTGAGAACAGATTTATCAATTTGTCTAAACTAAGATGAACCACAACCATTAGAGCGGTGGCCGAAACCCTCAAAATCAGCCATTAGAGCGGTGGGCGAAACCCTAGGCAGCGGACGTCCTCGCCAGTAGCCGAAACCCTTGACATCAGGAGCCCTTGCACTGGTGGCCGACAGGCCGGTTACAATTGAGGAGGGAGAAAGAGGAGGGGCGGCGACCTGGCGTAGGCTTGAACGACGTAAAGAGGAAGAGGGAGAGTTGTTTGAAGGAGAGGAAAAGGGAGAAACATTGTATTGAATTGGAGGTTAGAGCGTGCAAAACTAAGTGATGGGGCTATTATAGATATATGTAATAGAAATAAGGTAATACCTATTAATGTTGCCATAAAATGTTACCTATTTTAAAAGTGTTACTTTGTAGTGTTACTTATGTTAAAGGTGTTACATTCTAAAAAAAATGTTACCAAAGTGTTACTTATAAATCTAATAATTTTGCATTTCAAAAAGTGTTACCAACATATATTACATAAACTCAATTATGTACTAGTGATGGCACATTGCTTAAAGATTCAATGATTTGAGAAAGGTTGATGAAATTAAGAGTTTGTGTGATGCTCCTTATGTATTTTGAAAAGGATACATCATGTGTGCCATGGAATATACTCATCTATTTGATTCACATATTTTAAGAACAAGTGATGATAAATTTCAATCGAAAACCAATAACATTGGAGTACAAATTAGAAATTTCTAAGTTCCTTGCGAAAGGACGAAGGAAGATTCTTAAAGTATGGAGATGAATATTATTATAAGATTTTAGAAGTTGCTAAATTCATATTTATGAGAATGTCTCATGAATTGTACTTACTAAATCCCTTCCATGACCAAGGTATGAGAGTCATACTAAGGTTCTTGGATTGAAGCAAGTTATGTAATTTAAGTTGTATATGTTTTGAGAAAACATATTACATAAGTAATACATCAACTTGCAGAATTATGTTTATCAATTGAAACAAAGTTTCAATCTTATTTAATTATGGTTTTTGGAATTAAATAAAATGTCCAAAATAATTATGAATTGATGGGCTCATAAGTTGATGACTTGGTGAATGAAACCCCAACTAAATTCATACATTATTTAAGTTCCTAGTTCGAAATCATTAAATTGGACATAAATGATTTTAATAAATGGACTAGCATGTAAGATTGATTGGATAACAGTTTCATGGGCTGTAGAGGCATAGAGATGCTAGGTCAATCACTGGTCAATCACTTGAAGTTCAAGTATAGAGCTTCTAGATATATTAGTGGATTCCTTTGACATGAGTGGAACATTGATTTCATTCAATGATTGATTTAACTATGGTACATTCAAACGTCGTGCCGTAAAAGGAGGCTATAAAGGGTGTTTCCCGGTTACTTCGAGAATTGAATGGGAGCTTTGGTTGCCACAAGATTGGATTGAATCTGCTTAGGGAGAATTCAGAGAATGCGTGGCCGCGCTCAAATGTATTACTCAGTAATCATTTGTTTTGTAATTCTAACTCAGATTTCAAGAAATGATTTGTAGATTAATATGATCTCGACATGTGATGCAATCATATTATCAAATCGACACACATTGACTTAAGGAATTTGAATATTGCGCAGTTGTCTCACACAAGTGGGAGATTGAAGGAATTATGTCTTCGTTAAGTGCAATTACTAGATATATCAAGGATCGCTGTTATGGAGATAATTAGTTCATTCTTTTGGGTCGTCATTGTCTGTTGCTAGATATGATAAATGATCTTTGGGCTAGTCAAATATATTGGATTGAAAAAGTATGAGGTCCATTAATGGGCCTCATGAGGCTATAACAAACCATGTAAGGGTTTAGGCTAGAGTAGTTAGAATAGAGTTGGGAATTGGGCTTGACATGGACTCTTATTACTAGATATGTTCTATAAATAAAGTCCATGCATAGGGTTGACATAAGAAACAATTAACAAGTCGGTGAATTGTGAAACAAGGCAACCTATTCCCAAAACCCTAATCTCTCTCTCCTCCTCACGCACGCCCTTCCTCTTTCACCAAACCGTACGGCCGGTTGTCCCCTTAGTGGTTTGTGGTGCTCGTCGTGGTGGATCGTGGTTAGATCGTTCCTCTCTTCTCCGTAAAAGGTTGAATAAAGGGTTTAATCACAACTAACTAGCATTAGTGGAGGTTCAATCTGTGCTCGTGGACTAAGTAGAGGAATCACAGTTGGGGTTCTTAATCACCTTATTGTTCTTGCTTGATCACACGTGGAATCACGCTTTAAAGGTACAATTCTATATTCTTTATGTGTTATGCATTCATCTTGGTTGTTAGATGCTTATGAATATGATTCATGCAATTCCGCTTAGTGCATCAATAGTCCTACAAATTGTTGTCCTAGGAGTCTGCTAGTCTACTTAAGTATATTAGGCAAGTATTATCTTGTTGCAAGTTCCTAAGCTTATATTTATCACATATAAATTGGATGCATCAATAGATTAAGTCTTTTCAAATTATGTTTAAGTTAGCATAATTTAGTCAGGGAGTTCATTCTGAGTGCACTAATTATTGAGTAGAACCTCTAAGTCAGGCTTCTTGGCTTGTATTATTCTTGGAAAATTGATTCAAGAGAAGGGAATTAAATGTTAGATTGATGAGTACATTGCTTGTTAATTGGCCAAGTTTATGCAAGCATAAACCTCATTAACTCACATAATAGAGTGCTTAGAGATAAGTATATGTCATGTTTGCTAAACAAATTTTTTTTTTTTTGCATGATATGTGCCTATTAAATTTAAGGTAAATGAACACTAAATGAGAAAAGTGTTGTTAGTTCCCAGATCATAAAGGAGAGTCAATAAAATAAGTCATTTGTTTCATACCCCTTATTCTTGCTACCCCTTTGTTTGGTTAGGGTACGGTGTTGTACTGCACCTTAGCTTGTGCTAAAGTAGTTTGGTTTTAAAACTTTATGATACTCCATGGTATTCTGAATGTGAGCTACTCTGTGTGAACTAAATTTTATGTTTAGTGCAGATCCCCTATCCTTTAATGCTAGTACAAGCCCCATGTTTGAGATATATGCTGATTTGTTCACAATAGAAGTTAATTATATTCTGTTTGCGCTACTTTAGTCTGAATAATAGAACATAATTTGCCATTAAATGTTAAGTTAACAGAGGTAAGTTTATAAGCTTTAACTCATGCGAACCATTTTGCTAAATCTGCGAGATTACTAATCAGATTGTTATTCTTACATGTTTTGCGACTTGAGCAGAAAAGTTTTAACTTAAAAAGACTTTAAAATCAAAGCATAATGAGTACTACAAATTTATTTCCTGATGTCTAACTGTTACTGAACTGAGTACTTGCTGCAGAGCTATGTTAATCATTAAATTTCTTGTTTACATAACTCACCTCACTACTTTAGATTTACTAATTTTGCATATAAGTTTGTGACCAGCATTCGATGGATTATTCTCTACATTTATGCACCAATAATATTTCAAGCTTGTTCCTAATTAGCTTATGTTTTCTTTGACAGGTGCATGAGTGCCAGTACCCCTAATCCTAAGCTCAAGCGTATTCGAAGATTCATTGACTCGGTGCACAACTTGAACTGGGAGAAATTACTTGAAGCCTTTCAAGCCGAAGAATCAAAAGAAATTAAAATGGCAGAACGGACATTGAAGAAGATGGCAGCTCCTAAAACAGGATAAGATCCCCTCTGCATTGTCTTTCCGGCACTAGAGAGGCCTCTTAAACTGAATTCAGGTTTCCTTAATCTTCTTCCCAAATACTATGGGAACGCAGGTGAGAATCCTTACAGACATTTGAAAGAATTTAAAGTTGTTTGTTCTTCTATGAATCTTGAAGGCATTGGGCAAGAACATGTTAAATTGCATGCATTTCCTTTTTCCTTGCAAGATCCTGCTAAAGAATAGTTGTATGAACTTCCGGCAGGATCCCTTACTTCTTGGGAGACTTAGAAAAAACCTTTCTTGAAAAAATCTTTTCCGCGAGTTGTATTGGATCCATTAGAAAAGAAATTTGTGGTATTAGACAACATGCTTCTGAATCACTTTATGAGTATTGGGAACGATTTAAAAAATTATGTTCTTTTTGTCCACAACATCAAATAAGTGATCAGCTTCTAATTCAGTATTCTTATCAAGGTTTGTTGCCACATGATAGAAATATGATAGATGCATCTAGTGGAGGTGCATTAGTTGATAAAACACCGACTGAAGCTAAGATCTTAATTTCTAATATGGCCTAGAATACACAACAATTCAGTACTAGGAATGATGTTAGGAAAGTTAATGAAGTTGATTTAAGGGGTGTTCATAATCAATTACAGGAAAATGCACAACAAATAGCTGCTTTGACCACTTTAGTGTCTAAGATTATTCCAGGAAACGAGTCTAAAGCTAGAGTATGTGGTATCTGTTCTGGTTTTTCTCATACTTCTGATAATTATCCTGATTTGCAATGAAGATGTGAATGCATTAGGTGATATACAAACTTACAATGAAGGTTGGAAAGACAACCCTAACCTTAGTTATGGAAATAGACCACAATTATTGCAAAATAATCAATCTAGGCAGTTTGGTCAGCAAAACCCCTCTCCCCATGCTCAAGGTCCTTCATTAGAGAGTATGGTAAAATAGTTGGTAACTCAAATAGGACAAGTGCATAATCAAAACACTGAGTATCAAAGCAAAACAGATTCCCATCTTCAACAACTTGACACTCAATTAGGCCACATTTGCACTTTCTTAAGTAACTTAGAGACTCAATTGACAAGAAAACTCCCAGCCTAAACTCTTCCAAACCCAAAATCAAATGTTGTGTTTAAACAGAGTAGGGTCACCATTGATGAGTCTTTAGAAACTAAGAATAAGAGTAGTTTGAGTCCTGAAGTGGTGAAAGGGAATAAAATCCCTTT